CACAATAAGACCAACCCATCCCACTCCTATCGAGGGGTCTAGGCTTCCGTCTAAACTTGGACTCCAAGCCCCCACACTTGAGACTCGGTCTCAGTATGGTGCTTAGACCTCCACCTTTTCCTGCCTCTAATCAGTCGGTCCGGAAAGAGCCAGAACCCACGACAAGAGCGTAACGAGCCTTTCTACTCCCATAAGCAAGTATGTGCTCAGGATAATAACTCTATGATCCGACTGTCATCCACAGCAACGGACGGTCCTCAATCGACACAGGCTGAACAAGTGCATTACGAGCCTTGCTCGAATGCCTAACCAAGTCCAGATCTAAAGTACCATTCTGCCATATCTCCAATTATCATTCATATATATTCCATGTGATAGTAATATAATAACAACAATAATATATTTCCTATCTCTCGTGAGTGGCAGGTAATCACTCGATTTCTACCGGATCCTATAGTATAGCAATCTACATGATCCTGACATACTAGTAGGACTCATAGGATAATGATATATATGTAAGTGGTGTCATTTAACTCCTTAAAACTTAATGTATAAGCATAAAATAAAGTGTAGAATAATAGGGGTTATGCACCGGGGCATGTCTGGGCAAGATATAACCAAGGATTAGCATTCCATCAGGCGACATGATCATCAAGGCGCCATCTTTTCCGCTACTTTGGTCGACTCCATGATTCATCGTTGTTCCTATTATGATATACGTGGATGCAACGCAGAGACGTAAATAATCAACGACAACTACAACTCTAAAATATGATTACGCTCCACAAACTAACGCGCTAGCTTTAATGACTAACGTACTAGTCTACGTATCCACATCGTCAAGTAAGGCTTCGCCCGAAAAAATGTTTTAGTTCTAAAATCCTAAGGTGATTTGGCATTTTATTGATTAAACATATATTTTCGAACTAGGGCTCATTTAGCGACCCTAGCAAACTAATTATTATGGAGCTACAAAAATTATAGTAAGCACCTAATAATGTTAGGAATTTACTATGAAAGTTTTAGAGCCAACACTATTACCAATTTATCACAAAAAAATCCTACAAATTTATACCTTACAATATTAAGTATCTCAAATTAATTAGATAACTCCTAAAAATATTATAAAACTATGTAAACAAAATATGCTAGCAGATAGATCATGATTTTTGAAACCTAACAAAATTAGTTTCACCATTTTTGGCCAATTACACAAATTTCTATTGAATTTACAAGTTTGCCTTCGAAACTAAATTAGAAAATGCATTAGAAAAAGGAAAGGGCCGGCAGCAACCCCTTTAGGCCCGATAGCCAGTCTTGTGCACTACACGCTGCTGGCAGCATGGCGCTTGCCCTTGAGATGGCCTAACTTAACGGGCGCCTGAAGCGCCTGACGGTTTTGCAGAGAAGCCCCCAAGCTTCAAGGTAATAGTACGACTACCATGTGTACTGTTCCTATCGATAGTGGCTTTGCGACCAAGCCCTCGGTTGTTTTTGTCCTCACCACGGGCAGGTCCCTGGAATCCCCGTGCTCGCCGGTGCAGCGACCGACGGCATAGGGTAGCTACGCCGAGCAACCTAGGCTTGCTAAGATGGGAGTAAGGGGTCGACCACCACCTACGGCTAAACGCGCACGACTGGGTGGTGGTTAGGGGCTCAGGGATGTACTAACATGAGCTATAGCGGCGAGCGGTTATCCACGGCGGCGACGCAGTCATTCCGACGACCTAGAGCCCTAACAGAGGGGTAGAGACGGCGGGGAAGCATCAGGATCTCACCGAGGACCGTGCTGCGGTGATGGTTGAAACTGGGGAGTGCCAAGGTGATCTAGCCACGCGCGCCCGAAGCACATGGCGACGCTCCGAGCGCGGCACTGAGCGCGTCACCACACCATCGTCGAGCATCCTGGCCAAAGTAGCGCGAGCACCGGATGGAGGGAGTCAAGGCGAGCTCAGGGTTACGAGCAATTGAACTGCTACCACTCCTACATGCCTTACCTCCTGACCTACCGGTTCGGCGGTGCACATGACCGGCGGTGGGGAGAAACCAAATTCGACCATGATAGACAACGACAGGACTCGGTGTAACGGGGCACCTAGCAAATTTCCTCTGCTAGTCGCTGACGTGAGGAATTAGACTAGGAAGCCTCGGGCTGGTGAATAAGAAAGGGGAAAGGAGAGTGGTGCACTGCCACCGCCACGTCGCGAAAAAACGGCCCTGGCAGAGGTGGCCTGGCCACAACTCGACGAGGCACGGCAGCGCGGAGATATGACCGCACGAGCGAGGGATAGGCAGCGCGTCGGTTAGCGCTTGAACAGAGCCATCGAAGGTGTGCCCACGTGCGGCCACGCGCACGCAGCAGCACGGCGTCGCGATGCAGTAGACTACGTACAATGTCGAGCTCGGGCTTGGTAGGTGGGTTGTGTGCCTAGGAACAAATGCTACAGCACCCGGGTGAGTCGGAGGGCGTGGGACAGGGCCATGAGCAGCGACGCAGCTCGAGACAAAGAGGGCCGCGGGTGGGGTAGCCGCTCAGCAGGGCGGTAACGGCGGCCGAGGGGCGAGTGCCGAGGCCATCGGCCAGCAGCAGGCGTCGCAGCCGAAGGTGGCGAAGCCACGGGCACGCCATAGCCAGGCCGAGGGTGGCCACCATCATCCTGCCCACGCACGCGCGTAGCCAGAGGCAGCCACGGCGCGCACTGAATGCGGTGACCACGCACTCCCGACCGAACGACCAGACACGTGCTAAGCACGAATTTTAAAGCGCATCTAAAAACTAACCTAACACAGTTGAAGCTAAACTACCTCGACCATGCTAATGAGGGTACAACAATTTACCATAAGGAGCAAAAATGCAACATGGACCTTTAGCTAGATTTTCCAGAATTAATTCACCAACATGGCATTGTCACACTGCTTTCAAACTTAAAATTTCTTCGAAGTCTTGAGCTGAATTTGACTTCAAGTTCTATTTCCAAGCCATTAAAAATACTAGCTAGTCATATTATTTTTCTACAGCAAGAATTGTATTGTCATCTACAAAGTTTGTACTTCAAACCTTATTTAGGTGTCACACATATGTTCTATAATACTTTTGTTCAATAAAATTGGTTTTCCACCCTACTTGACATAACATGAGTTATTGAATAAATCTTTATTTAACATTTTTATTGATTATTTTAGGCTACAAGAAATTTATCAACACCTTCTATCATATGCATTATTACATAAACATGATGCTCATGACATGATTTAGTAGTTTGTTTAGGGCGTAACATCGAGGGTATTACAGAAGTTTGGTTCCTGGTATTACGAGCCATATGAGTACAGCCTCTGGTCCCAACTGTGGACAACAAGTTTGTTGACCGGTGGGTGTCTAGTAGGAAACGCGTGCACAAGTCTGGATGAAGTGGTTTCGACTGTCATGTAGTGCTAGTAGTTTGGTTGCTATGGGAGGAGTGGAATGGAAGTCTTTGATGGGTTTCAACATCATGATATTACTCCTGCGATTTGGATTAAGGAGGCGGCTATAGTAAGGAGGAGGTAGAGGTCTGGATTATGGCGGGGATTTATCGGCTTCAGTCGCTCATTTTAGGTTAAAAAACAATGGCTAACTCAGTATGTACACCTAGGTTGCTTAGTTGTAGATTGTATGTAATAGTCTTTTCTATAAATTGTCAATTGTGTCGGCTAAACCCTCCATGACTTAGTTGTAGTCATTTTGCTTCTCCTCTTAATGAAGCCTAGGTGTGTTTGCGAAAAAGGAACTAAGGAAAGCTGCAATATGGTTAGAGCAGTTTTGCTTAATCATTCTTTTTCATCATTCTGTATGCAGAGACAGGGCTATGGCAAGCAGAATGAGATCCTCTCCAGTCAATTTACCTGTGTCTTGGTCACCTACATGTAGCCTTGATGCTCGTCAGACCCGCCTATCAATGACAAATGCACCATGCAATCAAACTCAGAGGAACTGATTCTCTGGCAAGCGACTGAAAGTGGATCATCATAACCCTATATATATATATATATGTTATTAATGCCTGAAAAAAGATCTCAAAATAACACTATGACAGTGAGAAAAAGTCAACATATATATACCTAAGAGCATTTCCAGGAGACTACCTAAACAGGGCCTCTACTCTATTTTTATTAGTGGAGCAAAAAAATCCACTCTCCTCCCACTATCCACTTCTGTTGGCCCAACAAATGGGCACCTAAATTTCTGTTGGCAGTTTTTCCCTCCCTGCGCTCACACACCATAGCCGGTGCACGACTTCAGATCCACCGCCTCCATGACCGTTCCCCGCGGTGGGCTGCGGCCTGTGGCACCTCCCCGACGGTGGGCTTCTCCAGATGCACCGGACCCTCCCCTACGGTGGCCGGTGCTGCCTCCCTGCCCCGCAGGTGGCCTGCGGCCCTTCCCTGCCCCGCCGATGGTTGAGTTAGCCGTCCCCGTCCCCTGTGGCCTGCCCTTGGCCAAATCGGCCATTCTCCGTCCCCCACCGATGGCCGAGTCAGCAGTTCTGCGTCCCCCACTGATGGCCGAGTTAGCAATTCTCCTTCCCCCACCGATGGCCGAGTTTTTCTATAGTGATGAGAGGAGGAAGAGGACGACATGCGGATTCCACATGTCATTCTCTATTATGATGAATTTTAGGAGGCTTGTTTTAGATAGTGTTGCTAGAGGAAACAACGACAAAAAAATCATACCAAAATATAAAATTAGGAGCCCTGTTTTAGGTAGTAGTGCTGAAGATGCTCTGACCACTTACAATATTATAATTGTAACCGGTTTGAATTATGCACAGATTATTTTAACGAATCTCAATCAACTCACTAACATGCCTAGCATACTCAGATGAGAAAGACCCGATAACTAAGCAGATATTGAGCAAGGGACCTATCATACGGTAGTTTCAGAAAGGCAGACAATACAGTAATAAGAACAGAAATATGTCTGGGACATGAGAGCCCAGCATATGACATCTTCAGTTTGGCCTTCAGATGGTCGCCTGGCCACTAAAAGACGGGGAAGACATGATGGTCAGCATTTCCGTCACAGAAGCCATGGCGCTTAGCGCTGCTTTAAGGACATCCTGCGAGCACCCGGGCTTCACAATGCTTTTCACCTTCACTGCGGACAAGCAAACACAGGGAGAAGCAAAAAAAGAAATGGTCAACCAACGCTCTGTATCGGTTTTGAAATGGTGAAAAGTCAATTAACAAAGTCAGTAAAGTACCTTCTCCAAGTACTCCTGCAACTGCTTGATTCTTCCCATGTAGTCCCGATCTTCAACGCACAATGAAATCGGCTTTGTACAGGGCCTGTATAGATGCCGAAAAATTTGATAAAATGACACTGTAGCAGTTTTCGTTGTTATTTGATAATTAATGTCTAATCATAGTCTAATTAGGCTTAAAAGATTCCTCTCGTGGATTTCGTCTAAACTGTGTAATTAGTTTTATTTATATTTAATACTTCATACATACGTCAAAGATTCGATGTGACGAAAAATCTTAAAAAATTTGGCATTTTAGGAGGTAACTAAACGGTACCTCAGCACCCTGCCCTTCGAACTGAAGTGGCCCAGGGTTTCGGTAGATGTCTTCCATCATGAAGCTGGAAGAGTTTTGTCTCAACAGCCTGGAAAACAAAGAACATTTAGGGCCGTTTAGATTTTTTTTATTTGAAGAAATTGAAATCTACTTCCCGTTCGGCTTGCTGAAACTTGGCTGAAATTGGCTGAAAACACTGTTCTGGCTGAAATGTTGTGAGAGAAAAACACTATTCCGATTGAAAAAAGAAGCCGAACAAGCCGGATTTAAGGTAAGCCGAACAGGGCCTTAATAAACTATGCTATTTGGTTTCTCCTGCGTTTTCGAGAAAAGAAACTATGCTATTTGGTATGGAATTTGAGATTTCGTCACTTTCCAAAGTTCACATATAAGTCTATCTTAAATTCATAGGGCGGAAGATGGAAATAGATCTTATAGATCACCATGCTATGTTCCTACTTTGCAACTTATAACACGCTCGCTCCCTTATGATAGAAATGCAACATATAAGTATCTCTCGTATAAGCAATAATAATATACAAATATAATCATATAGATCTATATTAGCTTAAGTAACATGTGTCTAAATTATAATTAGTAAAATGAATTCAGTTTCAAGTTCCATACGCGCCTCAGTGAAAAACAACGAGAGCAGTTGAGCATTCGGCATTCAACATTCGACAGATGTAGAAGAAAAGGACAAAATCCCAAAGCCCATAGAAAGAAGTGATGGCTAAATAGAATATATATACTTTCATACTCAGAGCGCGTTTAGATCCGAAAATTTTTGGGTTTCAGGTACCGTAGCACTTTCGTTTGTATTTAGTAATTAGTGTCTAATTATGGATTAATTATGTTCGAAAGTTTCGTCTCACGATTTCTCACCCAACTGTACAATTAGTTTTTTTTTCGTCTATATTTAGTACTTCATACATGTGCCGCAAGATTTGACGTGACACTTGCCGCACAAAAAATTTTGATTTTTGGGTGAACTAAACGGGGCCTTACTCGTATGCTTTTCCTTTCAAGTCAACACTCGCCATGTGGACAGCAGGCTTACCGATTTGACAGGTGGCAGGACCACGTGACCATCTCTTCACGGTCATCATAGACTGTTAACGAGGAAACGTTTACTCTTTCTTTGAATTGAACCTGAACTATGAAAAGCTGATTCATTTAAGAAAGGACTTCAATTATAAAAAAAATTTACAGTAATGGGAGCAGCACCACATTTCCACTTGTTTACTGGACTCTTAAGGTTGGTCACAGTGTCCATGTAGCCGTTCAAACCAGCTGCTATGATGTGATAACATACATGTCCAAGAACCTAAAACAAAACAATTCAATAGAGATTTAACAGCATAGCGATTTTCTGAGAAAAAAAGTGAAAGTAAATGCAAACCTACGTAGCCATAATCAGTCAAATTTAGAAGGCAGGGCACCCCTGACCTGGTATCCAAAAAAGTGGCAAATAGCATTGAACTTCTTTCCATTATAAGTGCCTTCCTTCTGTAAGAGAAGCCCAACAATGTGCAATGGCAAATTTAGTGCTTGTTTTACAAATGAAATTGAGAAATAGTTGTGTGCAAGTCTGCAAATAGCTTACCAGGCGTTTGTTCATTTCAGTCTCAACCAATTGTGCTAGAAGCTTCTCCATCTCAATCTGCAAAGATAGACAGATAAAGTTTCTGTACAAAAAGAATGTGCAATGAGCTGTTAGTGAACATCATTAAAATGTGGGAATGCCATAGTACCTGAGACAGTTGAGCTGAATCGTCAGATTCAGGATGGAGAAGCAGCTGCGTGATGTAAACAACATTATTGAAGCAGCAGTAACTTGGCTAAATTACAGGTTCCTGAAAATAAGCGCTGAAAAAAGAAATTGTACCTGTTTTCTAATGAATGGAGGCAAAAATTCAAATAGTGCAGATGCCCAAGGTGAATGTTCTCAACGGAAACACCTTTATTATGTAGTCCATGAATTTCCTGAAAGAATTAGGTCACCTCAGAAATGATTTTAAAGAATATAAAACCAGCACTCATCATTAAGGTGGTGAAACAAACCTGGAGCAAAGCATACAGTTCGGGAATACTCTCAACAAGACCCTCAGGAATAAGTACAACTCCATGATATTTGTCTGCGCAAGAAAATATCATCATCAGGAATAATTGCACCCGACATGGTACTTAGGTGCACGTGCACCTGATAATGACTACAGGGACTCTGTTACGATCACATAGTAGTAGTTCCTACCTTTTTCAGGTCTTGCCTGCACAGCATCACATATCTGTTTTGTAATATCAAATATTGTAAGTTTTGACGCAGCAACCTCCTCGCCTAGGATAACCTGAACATAGTTCAGTTGAGATGAAATTTTTTGTATATAAATTAACCAGGCATATACAATGGGATAGCAGGATTCCTGACCATATTTGGATGTGATTGAAGAGCACATTCCAATGCCACATGAGATGTTTTCCGTCCCATCAGCCGAATAAAATAGTAATACTGAGAATAAGAAACAAAATGAGATTTATGGTGGCTAAGAAATACAAATAATGGACACAAATTTTATTTGTATCAGAAAATCATCAATTTTATGTAGGTATGTCAGTATGTGGTATATGATAAAATAAAATAAATTCAAAATAAACTGTGTACACTAATTCTATTATTCCGTCAGAGCTTTAAATATTATAACTTGCGTACACTAATTCTAAGTTATGATATTTAAAGCTCCGACAGAATAATTTAAGTTCCATAAGCTAAGCTCAGTTGATAGATCCCAGGAAGTGATTGCCCAATTAGAGTGAATGCTGCAGTGTTAAAACAGTGATCCAGCAATGGCATCTTCCAATCACAGCTCAAATTGAAAAGGTTGGTTGTACTGTTTCTTCTCAAGAGCAGAAATAAGTTTTTGTTTTGTAAATATCTATAATGGAATATCGTACTCTTTCCTGCCCATAGAACCAATAAAGCGTTCTCAATAACCAAATGTATGTTAGGATGATATCTGGTGCATCTAACCTTTTCAGCAGAAAGAGCGTCTGTGCATACATTGCTTATTAACTGCGAGTTCACCTGACAGAAAGGTAGAGATTATAAAACCATCAAAACTCAAACTTATTACAATAAATACTACAAGAGATTAGAGAACGCAACACAACTGTAGCACTAAATTCTGTATATGTTAAACTACAACAAAATATTGGCAAAATTACTCCTTATCTACCTTGGTAAGCACACTTGTGATGTTGCAAAGGTGACCAAGAAGTATTAGGGAATTAATAAGAAAATGTAATGACAAATGAGCTACAGCATACATGCAGGATGAAGGATTCAACTCCATAGTTTGATTTATGAAATTCTTTACCTTGCATATGGTATCAAAACCAACTGTTGTTTCAACAAATTGGTTCTTGAGATCTCCATTCAGAGTTACGGGAACACCAACTACCTGCTCGAAAAGTTATTGTCAGATTGTTTACATATGAAAAATACAGGTTTCTGTTCGAAATGATCGAGAAACTAAAAATGCAAAGCAAATATCATCCAACCTTTGTTGGACATTTCAACTCAGCAAATGTCTCAGCAAGCTGAGCAGCATCCGTGTTGGATGTGACACCTTTAATTAAAGATCAAAGAAAGACATTATGAGCTTGTATCTGATCTAAATCATAGATAAAACTCAGCAAACAAACAAAACAAACAATACCTCCAATTATAACAAGAGCATCCAGCTTCAATGCATGGCAAGTAGCCATTGCTGCCTTTACCTGCTCAGTTGTTCTGATCTGATCCCTTGTCCGACCAAGCATGTCATAACCACCTTGATTCTTATAGGATGAAAGAGCTTCATCGGTGATTTCCATAGTTTTCTGTGCAAATAATCCATCAGTTCCTCCTGGATCAACACATAGACAGAAATAAGTCATAGGTGGAGCACATAAAGGATCCATTCTATGTTCACCGTCAACCATGCATGTAAAATGTCAATTGGACCTAGTAAGACACAAAGCATGTATCTATTTCTTATATATATTTTAATAGAATGTAGCTAGGTATTGTTGATACCACTGAAAACCTAATACAATCTATGTGGCAACCTCAATAATGGTTTTAAAATTTTACCTGTCACCAAATTGAGAAATTTTCATGATTTGGTTGATAAAAAGGTGCTGTGAAGTGCAATTATAAACTTCCAGCAGTTACTGCATCATACAAAAGCAGAATACATCGCCCTTATAACCTAGTTAACTTGCACAGTTTGCTCGAACAACAAGAGATGCAAGTGACAGAAGTTGCCAATCTATTATCTTGGCTAAATCATAATTTTCACCTTAAGTAACCCTATTTGCTTACCAAGAAAACCAATAATTTTGCTGTTTGAGTTGTGAGCCTTTACAGCATCATAGAGGCCCCATATAACATTGTGCCCTCCTGGGGATTGCCTCCCACTGAAGACAACGCCAACCCTGCATCCCATGCACACATTAAATACATAGAAGGAAAAACGTTAGAAAGAGATATGCTTCAATCAAGAAGATTACATGAATTTTGTGCAATGGATCAATGATTTGCTGCCCAGAATCAAACACTTGTGTTGTGAACTCAGGCAGCTTAAGCAGCATGGATACGGATAAGTGTATCGATATCGGAAGGATACAGATACGCGGATATGTCAATTTCCTAGAAACATGATGCACGAATATGTTTTACCTTTTTAATAATATAAATAAATAATAATGCAGATTAAAATTGTGAGTGTCTAAAACTTGAGTTTCACGGACAAATTGTGAACTCAGGCAGCTATTGTCTAGCTAAATACTATACAACAACAACAACAACATAGCATTTCAGTACCAAGCAAGTTGGGGTAGGCTAGAGTTGAAACCCACTGAGAACCTCAAGTCACGGTTCAGGCACTTTAATAGCTGCTTTCTAAGCACTCCTATTTAAACATAGATCTCTAGATATATCCCAAGCTTTCAAATATCTTTTTATTGCCTCCCCCATGTTAATTTCGGTCTTCCTCTACCTCTCCTCGTATTATTAGCTTGGCTTAGGACTCCACAATACACTGGTGCCTCGAAGGTCTCCTTTGGACATGGCCAAACCACCTCAACCGATGTTAGACAAGCTTTTCTTCAATTGGTGCTACCTCTAGGCGATCACATATATCATCATTCCGAACTCGGTCCATTCTTGTGTGACCACGAATCCATCGCAACATACGCATTTTTGCAACACTCGGTTGTTGAACATGTCGAATCTTTATAGGGCAACATTCTGCTCCATACAACATAGCCGGTCTAATCGCCGTTCTATAAAACTTACCTTTTAGCTTTTGTGGTACCCTCTTGTCACAGAGAATGTCAGAAGCTTGTCGCCACTTGATCTACCCTGGTTTGATTCTATGGCCAACGTCCGCATCAATATCTTCATCCCTCTGTAGCATCGATCCCAGATACCGAAAGGTATCTGTCGGGTTCATAAACCCGAGGTCCCTAATGAGCCTGCTTCCCAGCAAAAAGCTCGGCCCAGCAGACGACGTTGCAAACGACGCGCAACTCCTGGGCTGGCCCAGATACCTAACGACAGGCCGGAAGAGTGATCCAGTCTCCGACCGGAAGGCCTGGCCAGGGAAGGGGTGATGCTCGCTTCCTACTATGACCCGCTTCTCCGACCGGAAGGCCTGGCCAGGGAAGAGGCGACGCTCGCTTCCGACTCTGACCCGCTTCTCTGACCGGAAGGCCTAGCCAGGGAAGGGGCGACGCTCGCTTTCGACTTCGGCCCGCTTCTCCGACAGGAAGGCCTAGCCAGGGAAGGGGCGACGCTCGCTTTCGACTTCGGCCCGCTTCTCCGACAGGTAGGCCTGGCCAGGGAAGAGGCGACGCTCGCTTCCGACTCCGACCCGCTTCTTCGACCGAAAGGCCTGGCCAGGGAAGGGGCAACGCTCGCTTCCGACTCTGGCCCGCTTCTTTGACCGAAAATACACCGAACCTCTGCCTACAGCTCTTTCTCCGACCGGCGCGGTCGGAGCCGACTGGGAACAATCGAACGGGGCGCCCGCTCGGTAAGGACCTAAGAATCAGGCGAAGCAGATAAGGCAAGGAGCTCGAGTTAACCGCAATACCGAGGACTGTACCCTGTACACCTATAGGACAATACTGTCAGGCCATGTCATGAGGGTGCTTTATAACCTTTCAGACATGTTAGAACACGAACATTGTTGTGGGCGTCGACATATGTCCTATAGTATGGTAGGCGCCGACATTTGCCATACCAGAAGAACACGATGGAGCCTACCACATGCATCTAGGCGTCAGCAGTATGGTGGGCACCGACAAACCGTCTTGTACTCGACGGCGTGGGCAACAAGACTAGGTAGCACACACACTCTCTTTCTCTCATTCTCTCTTTCTCACTTGTAAGGCCATCCCCTTCATCTATAAAAGGGGATGCGCCCTCAGACACACAGGAGGACGATCGAACAACAGACAATAGACGGATCATTCCGACTCACTCTCTGCTAGCTTTAGACATTTTAAAGCTACACAGAGCATACGTCCCAATACTTAGCGCACATAGGAGCTCCCGTCACTCTCGGCCCTTCGGTCCAGAGTCCGACCGGACCTCTAGCACCCCCCATCTTACTCCCATTCGTTTGTAACCCCACAGCAAACTTCGAGCACCTAGGCTCAGGAATAAAGTCACCGACCGACTCAAACTGGACGTAGGGTACATTGCCTGAACCAGTATAAACCCTGTGTCATTGAGTGCTAGGCCACATCCGATCACAATGTACGGCAAAACGACAAATATTTACTAGTTGATCACTTTTTGCACCGACAGTTGGCGCCGTCCATGGGGAGGACGCCGTACGTTCACGCTTTTTGTCATCGGATGGCCCACCTTTCCGCCATCTTCGGCATGGCAGGCTCAAGCGATACGACTCACTTCGGCTCGCTAGAGTTTCCCATGCTCCCACCTATTGGGATGTGGGTTCCTCCCGTCTTCGAGCCGTCCCAGACCTTCCTCTTCGGAAGCCTGGACTTCGTTGCCGACCAGCTCGGCGTGCTTCGCCTTCGCAAGGAGGCACTTGTCCCGGCGCCCGTCGGAGGAGGAGCGCCCTTCGTCGGCTCCGAGACACCCAGCGACCTCAACGATGAGGCGCCTGCGCTTCGCTCCGAGCTTACGTTGGGCTCAAACCCCACTATGGGTAACATACATACTGTTATTTACTCGCTATTTACTATCTTCCACCAACTCTCCGGAGAGACCCCGTTGTCCCTACCACAATCGCCATGCAACCGGTTACCCCACGGTCTCGTGTGCCCCGCGGACGCGTACGCACGGGGGCTCCGAAAGATGCTGACGCCGCCCCCTCTCACATCTGAATTCATGGGGATGGCGGGCTACGCTCCCACCTCTTTCCACGACAACATGGATGACAAGGTCAAAAGCGACAGTTCTAGCATCAACGACATCGTGGCACCTAGCCACCCTCTGTCCCGGGAGTGCGCTATGGCAGACGCCCCAGGACAGCCACCGGTGGTAGCAGAGTCCCTATAGACTCACACCCCTCCAGACCCTCGTGCGGAGGTCTCGCGTGTGTGCAGGAGCATAGCGAGGAGCTACGACAAAGGTGGCAGAGCCAGCCGCCACCTACGCCGGTGCGCTCAGCACAACACGCTATGCCCCGCGCGCGTAACTCAGCGAGCAGCGCCCGGGGTCACGCCCGCTAGGTCCAGTGCAACATCATGGACGGGGGGAACGATCCCCCACAGTTTGCTCGGGCCAGCCAGAACATCACTGCTGCGGCAATGCTTCTGCGCGGCCTTCCAGCGCCTGTCGACCCCTAGGAGCAAGCGGTCCACCAGAACCTCCGAGCACTGGTGGAAACCGTCGTCGTTCAACAGGCGGAGAGCTCCGCATCATGACACCAACTCACGGCCTCTCTCCCCACTGAGGGAATGGGGGCGCACCAGTCAAACCACTCCATCCGCTCACCACTACAGTCGCCGGGCCCGAAACAGGAGTCCGCAGCTGCACCATAGCCTGACCTAGCGCCCGCTCCACACCAACCACCTATGCGCGAATGGCTCAGGCCAAACCGAGACGCTCGCAGCGTCATCAACAATCGGCATCAAGCCCGGTGTGATGATGAGGCCCATCGAGGGGCGGTGAGAGCAGGCGGCACGGGCCCCGGCCAGACCCTCGAGGGGAGCGGGGAAACGTGCCCCAGGCATGGTCACCAACCGGACGATCGGAGTCCTAGCCTGGATGGCCCGGGACCCCGGGCCTTTGGCTATCGCATCCAGAGAGCGTCGTTCCCACAACGCTTCCGACCGCCTACCAACGTCGCTAAATATACCGAGGAGATGAATCATGGTATATGGCTCAAAGACTTCCGGCTCGCCTGCCGAGCCAGAGGAGTGGATGATGACCATTTCATCATTCAATACCTCCCCATCTGCGTGGGGATCATGTTCGAGCATGGCTCGAATTCCTCCTACATGACAGCATCCACGACTGGGCGAATCTCAAGAGGATCTTCATTGGGAATTTCCAGGGGACGTATGTCCACCCTATGAATTCCTAGGACCTCAAGAGTTGCTAGCAGGGGTCCAATGAATCCCTACGGGATTACATCCGTAGGTTCTCGAAGCGATGCAACTCCCTTCCTGATGTCGTCGACACGGACGTCATCAGCGTGTTCCTCTCTAGGACAACCTGTGAGTCCTTAATCCACAAGCTTGGCTGTCTGAAGCCCTGGACCACCCGTGACCTGTTCGACGTCGCCACGAACCACGCCTCTGGTGAGGAGGCGGTTGGAGCAGTCTTTAACGGAGGTCGGGACAAGGGCAAGGCCAAACGTGAGGATCAAGATGAGGGCTCCTCCACGCAAGGGGCAAGAAGAACAAGATGGATCGGCGGCGACTGGCCAACTCCGCTCTGGTCACCGCAGCCGATCGTGCGGGCAAGCAGCCCCAGCAGGGCTAGCCTGACCACTTCGACAAGCTCATAGAGAGCCCATGCACCAACCATGCCTACCCCATCAAGCACCCCTACAAGGATTGCGAACTCCTCAAGCGCTTCCTGCGACAGGTCGGCGGGCCAAAAGAATGAAAGGGCAAGGAGACAGCGGCCAAGAAAGGACGCACGGCAGGCAAGGATGGGGATGGCTTTCCCGACCCCGAGGAATGCCTCATGATCTTCGAGGGATCTGATGCCATCTACTCCAAGCACCAGCACAAAGTGCGCTACAAAGAGGCATGCGTCGCCAAAACGGCCGTCCCCTCCTTCCTTAGCTGGTTGGAATCTCTGATCACTTTTGATCAGAGGGACTATCCTTCCCACGTCACCAGACCGGGTCGCTACACGCTCATCGTCGACCCCATTGTCCTCAAGAAGCGCCTCACCAAGGTGCTGATGGACAGAGGCAGCGGCCTCAACATCCTCTACGTCGACA